AACATAGGAAGTGATAGGGTAAGGAAAAATATGTATAATTGAATGTAAATGGGATAAATTCAGCCCTTAAAAGAATTGAAGTTGGGGGATTTAAGAAAATGGTGCAGAGATTGTGACATGCCCGCCCCTCTGAGCGCCAGGCTGTGAGCCACTGATGCTTTAGTGTTCGGTACTGCGGAGCAGAGGGAGAGAGAGCCCGCCCTGCAGGAATATCTGGCCCAGCCAGACTGACCTATAGGTGGATTCCCCTACCCATCTTGACCTGTTATCCACGGCTTGGTACGTACGAGAATTTCTCAGCATCCACCAATTCCTCTCCAGTAAAATCCAAGTCAATGCAGATTTGTTTGGTGCCCTCTAAGTGGAAAAAACACAAACGGTTTTTCTCTGCTCTCACACCACAGTGATCAACACAGAAGACTCTGGGACCAACTGTGGGGACATTTTCCCCGCCCGCAAGCAGGCGATCAGTTCTGCAGCAGACACCCTCTAGGTTCCTCCAATCAGTTGAGTCCCAACACTGTCTAGAGAGCTCAGACCACACAGGTGGAGGGCTCGGTCCCAAGTACCGCCCTGACGTCGATGCCAGTCGCAAGCCCCAGGCAGTTTTACCTGTGCTTCTACCAACTGGCTACAAATCGAGATTCCCAAAATCCCGTCTTCAGTTGGATTTATTTGCTAGATTGGCTCACGGAACTCAGGGACACACGTTTGCCAGTTGATTGTAAGTGTACCGATGAAGGGTACATTACAAAGGGTACCGATGAAAAGGTGTATAGGGTGAGGCATGGGGGAAGGGATCGGAGTGTCCATGCACCGTCCTCCAGCACTTCCGCGTGTTCAGCCGCCTGGGAGCTCCCTGAACCCAGTCCTTTTGGGTTTGTGTGGAAGCCTCAATTATGTAGGCGCGATTGATTAAATCACTGGCCTTGGAGATCAGCTTAGCCCTCATCCCCTCCCCGTCCTGGAGGCTGAGGTGGGGTGCAGCTGGAAGTCCCAGCCCTCTAATCCTGCCCTGACACTTCCCCATCCTGAAGCTGCCCGAGGGCCGCAGCCAACCGTCAGCTCATAGTGTAACAGACACACCACTTTGGAGATTCCCGAGATTGTAGGGGTCTGTGCCAGGAAATGGGGATGAAAATCAGATTATATATTTAACAATTTATCTTACTCTTCTTTGCACATTTATGAGAAATACAGATCAAATCCAATCAAACTGGTTTGGGGACTTGGGGCTTTTGACTACCAAGTATTTGGATGGAGAACTAGAAAATACATGCACATTTTTAAATCACATGCTATCTGAAATCAGTTCAGACATCCCTGTGGCGGTGTGAGATCTCACGTTTTCTGGAGGCTGTGTGTTAGTAACTGGAAGTTAAGGGTAGAGAATTCATTTACTAAAACTAAGATGTGTAAAGCGGCATTTATAGTCTCTTTTTTTAGTGTGTTGTCGCCTTTATTTTAGATGCACTTCAAGCCTCAGGCCCCAGATCTGTTTATCTGCTGTTCCTGCAAAGTTTTCATGAACTCAGTCTTCGGTGTAGAATTCTCTACAGTCGCAAAGCAGGGTTTGGCTTGAGAAAACAGGTGTCCCCATTTGTCACCACAGCCCCTGCAGATGCTCCCAGGACCGTTTGTTCATCACCCTCCTCTATTCCTGTGACCTCCTGTGGGGCAAGGCCGATGCTTGGATCACAGGAGCAGGAACAGACCTGGCTTCTGCCGACAGCCTGAAAACCCAGCCCCTGCAGACCCCACACACGGCAGATCTGTGTATACAGACTGCATTCCTCTTGCTTGTTTATTTTCTCTGAATCTATTATCTTTGTACCAAGGGCACAGTTAGCATCTTTGTCTTTACCTTTGAGAATAATTTTAGTTGTTCATTCAACAAATATTTGAGTGCCTACTATTTGCCTGGCTCTGTTCTGAGCATTGGGGTCAGAGCAGCGAACAAAATAGCAAAAATCCCCGCCATAGAGACCTTTCGCGCCACCAAGAACCGCTAGGAAGGAGTGAGTGTGTGAGAGCCCCTGGGCCCAAGCAGTGGGTGAGTGGGGTAAGAGAGTGCAGCCGGAGTCAAACTCTCCGCGTTCGAGCCTCAGCTCTGCCACTTACCCTCGTGTAACGGGGTGGGTCGGCCTCTCTGCACCTCAGTTTCCCCATCTGTGAAATGGGGGTAATGATAGCGCCACCCTCAGAGAGCTGCTGTGAGGTCTAAACAAGTCGATATAAACCTGAAGCACTTACCGGAGTGCCTGGCACATCCTAGATGCTGTTACTATGTTGGAGGCGATGATATTATGGGGGCCAGGGGACGGGGTGGACATGTCAGCAGGGGACTGGGAATGGCACTATTTCAAAAGGGGTGGTCAGGGCTGGCTTCGTGGAGGCATGGGGCAAAGCGATGGGCGCACCAGGTGGACTTGGGGTACCCTGGGGAGAGCACCCCACCTTGGCAAAGGTGGCAGCAGAAAGCCCTGCATCCAGGGCAGGTGTGGGGCATCCAGGACGTGTCTGGCGGTCGGCGTGGCTGGGAGCAGTGAGGTTGGGCACAGGCCGGTGGCGGTAGGCATCGGAGGACTCTGGCTGTTACTCTGAGAGGTGCAGGTGCTGTGGGAAGCTGAGGGTCGACCTGCCATGACTTACATAGTAACGGAGTAGCCATGGTCGCTAGTTGGGAGTAGACTGAGGAAGGCAGTGGGAAGATCAGTTGGGAAAAGGTGGGGATGAGGGGAGGGGGGTACGGACCACAGTGGGCCTGGTGGAGGAGGAGGAAGGGGCAGGTACTGTCCAGAACCCAGCGGTGGGGCCTGAGCCGCTCCCTGGTGAGCTGCAGGGGGGGCATAAGGGCAGGAAGCACAGAGGTGACTCCCAGAGTGTCCTGAGCCCGTGGAGGGAGCAGAGCAGGCGTGGGGGCCGGGATGGCTGAGACCATGGGAGGGAGCAGGCGTGGGGCCTGGGAGTGCGGTTCTGGGCTGTCGGACTCAAGATGGCCTGTCGGTGTCCTGGGATGTCTTAGCAACAGCGAAAACCAGGTGGCGTAAAACAGCAGAAATTTATTCTCTCATAGCTGTGGACACATGAGGTCTGCAATCAAAGTGTCAGCAGGGCCACACGCCCTCTGAGACCCTGGGCAGGGCTGTCCTTGCCTCCTCCAGCTCCTGGTGAGGTCGTCAGTCCCTGGCGCTAGCTCACCTGGACGAGATCGCCCCCATAAAGGCTCACCTGCCGCTGAGGGCACACGCACAGCCACGGGGGTCAGGACCTGCACGTGCCTCGATGGAAAACACAGTTCAGCCCATCACAGGTGGTCGTGAGACATCGAGTGGAGGTGCTCAGGGGCAAGTCTGGGCCTCAGCTTGAGGTTCTCAGGGGCAGGTCTGGGCCTCAGCTTGAGGATCTCGACACGGGAAAGGCATTTAAAGCCTCAGGACTCAATAGGCTCACAGAGGGTGCAAGTGTAGATGTGCCCCGAGTGTAGATGCGCCGAGAATGTAGATGCGCCGAGAGTGTGGACGAGCCCGAGTGGTCCCCACGCTGAGCCCTGGAGAACCCCCCAGGCTGAGGAGGCAGAAGCGCCCCAGGTGAGACTGAGGCAGAAGCATCAGGGGAGGAGGACAATAGGAAAGCACGATGACCCTAAAGGCAAAACGAGGAGAGTGTTCCCTTCCTGGGGGAGGGAGTGAGACGCAGTCACAGTCTGCTGGTGGGTCAGGTAAGAGGCAAACAGAAAACACTGGACCTGGCAGAACTGAGGTCGTTGATAATCCTGGGTAAAAACCTGCCTATCTTGATTTTCTGGTCTGTAGCTTTTTAAACTTGATTTTCCACCTTTTGGGCTGTGTCTGCATGTGCCCTGTTTATTTCTAAAAGACGTGTTCCTTCTGTAAACCACTGACCGTGTGTCTGGACTTGAGAGGTGCCGAGCGTGAGAAGATGCATGACAAGCACGCCCACCCTTGGATGCCATCGTTTAGTGGGGAACACGGGCGACACTAATAAAATACAGTGCGACGGCTCGATGGCACTGGTCACCAGGGACTTGCAAACTAAAACCACAGCCAGATACCGTTCCGCATCCACAGGGGTGGCGAAAATAAAAAAGACCAACCACACCAAGTTCCAGGGAGGGTATGGAGCAAACGAACCCAGTGCACCCTCAATGTGCTGCTCGTGGAAGCGTAACTTGGTTCATCAACGTTGGAGAACTGTTCAGCAGTTTTTTTAAAAAACATTCAAAATACATCTACGCCATGACCTGACAAGTTTCACTGCTAGGAATCTGCCCAAGAGAAATGGAAATATCCATCCACAAAAAGGCTTTTATAAGAATGTGCATAGCAGCCTTATCCCGAATAGTCTGAAACTGGAAACAGCCCAGGTACCCATTGGGAGAAGCAGAGAAACTGGCGGGTCCCTGGAGAGGGATCCACTCCACAGTGAGGAAGAACAAAGGACCAGTGCACACGACGTGAGAGAATCTCAAAAACAAGTTGAGCATGAGAAGCTTTACTAAAAAAAACAGATCTTGCACTTCTGTTGCGTGCAGATTATACCTCAGCAGAACTAAAAAATGGTACTGTGACAGGTGTTTCCAGGTGCTCTGCAGAGAGGTGAGGGGCGTCCTGCGGAGGGGGGCCAGGCCCGGGCTGGAGTTCAACCTGGCCAGAAGCCCAGCGCTGAGAAAGGGCTTTTGGCCTTGTTAGCGAGTTCCAGTGGCTTGAAAAGTAAATCCTAGTTATTTAACAGAATTTGTTTTCTTTTAAGGCTCAGTGTGGATCTGAGGCAGGACTGTCCCCCTCCCTAATGCAAGCTTCCTCAGGGACCGAGTTCAGATTTCAATTTTATAACAGCTTTTCCTCCCCTCATCAGTTTAAGTTTTTTCCAGTGGGTGAATTATTCCTCGTACTCAGTTTAGTTTTCTAAAACAAATTATTCGAGTATTATACAAGTAACCCGATGCTTTGTATTTTTTTCTCCTTAAAAAATAAAAGCTACAGATTCTCGTCGACACTGGAAGCAGTAACTTCGCCGTGGCAGGCGCCCCACATTCCTACATAGACGGCTACTTTGACACGGAGCGGTGAGTGAGGGTCTGCGGGTGTGCGGGCTCGGGCACTGCGTGCATTGGAGCCCTTCAGAGTGCACCAGAACACGGCTTCCGGCTGCTGCATTTTAGGAGGGATGTGTGTACGCGTGTATTTGCTGTGTATGTACATGTCCGTGCACGTGTAGACGTATATGCTGCATGTATGTATATGTTCATTCCAGGGGGATCTACAGCAAGATTCTCATAGCCTTGGTTCGTTCACGTGAAATTCACTTTATGAAAATTCAAGTCAAACACAACCTTTGTAGCCATGCCTAAGTCGAGGTTTACTGCAGTGCCTCTGGTCCCGCAGCGGAGCTGGGCTAGGGCAGGGGAGGGGTGTCGCAGGAGACTGTGAGGCCACTCTGGGCGGGGGTGTGGGGTTGCTTCCTCAGCGGGAGAAATGCATGGAAAAACCACCTTTGCGTGGCTGCCTAGCTCAGTAGGGTAAGATGTGCTTCATGGAGGCCAGCGCTGTGGGGAGGTGATTCTGGAGGAGAGGAATCCGTCACTCATTTGGAAAAGAGCAAATGTGAGTACAAGACTTTAAGGCCCCAGAACGGGGCTCTGCGCCAGCAATGATGGGGCTGGGTTGTGAGAAAAGAGCGGAGGCCAGATGGAGGTCTTTGCAATGGAACGAGCCCCCAGGACGGGCCCCGGAACCCTGGCTTCGCAGCAGCCCCCGGTGGCCTGTGTCAGCCTCTAGCTCTGGAGGAGCCCACGGGGTCTAGAGTCAGCACCTTCTGGGAACGCGAAGCTGCACTAGGGCCGTGCACATTTGGATTTCACATCTGCTTTTGTGATCCTAAAATTTAAACTCAGCAGACAAAACAGAGGAGGTGACAGGTAGTGGTTTGCTTTTTAGGGTCCCGAACTGTCTGCAGACTCAGAACTGCCACGTTGGGTTTCCCTACCGTAACCCTTTTCATGTCTTCCTGCGCTCACTTTCCCTTGTCCGCGGTGTTTTGGTCCAGGGAACAAAGGCCAGCTTTAGCTGGGGGAGGAAAGGAGGGGAATGAGAGCTGGCGGCTTCTGAAAGTGCGGAGCAACTTCACAAGGCGGGAATGGCTTGTGTGTGTACATCTGTCCGACCCACGCTGCATCCTGGGCTCTTGGTGGCATCAGAGACGTGACCCGTGCACACACAGCGGAGCTGCTTGCTGGGGAGAGGGACGTGGCAACCAGAGCTGTGTGGGGCCTTGCAGGACAGGCCCCTCCCTCGAGGGACTGCCTGTAGCTCAGTTTATGACGCCATGTATTGGAAAGCTTTTGTCATTGATACTCCAGGGTACAACACCAGCCAGTGATCACTCTGTGACTAAGACTAGTATGTGCCTGGCTGTTGTTGCTGTCCCCACAGGCGTGTGTAGGAGTGGGAGTGGCATTGCTCTGTGTGTGTGCAGGGAGGCCTGGACTGATGGTTTCTAACTCAAATGGGGATTTCGTCCAAATCTTCGATCCCCAAACAGCTGCCCACCTGCAGTCGCTCGCTCTGGACTGCTTCGTCATGGAACAGGACTTGGAGTCGGTCCAAACCTTTCATTTTGATTCATGCAGCCCAGGAGGTCACAGAGGCAGGGAACTTGCCGGGGTTCAGGCTTTGAGACCCGCAGTTTCCAAACCCTCAGCCAACACCCCCTTTTTATAGTGAGTGCTTTGCAATGCCCCAAAATAAACGAAAAGGTCATTTAACTACCTACGTACATAGCTCTGAATGCCCTGATGTAATGTGGGGAAATAAAAGGGTGGTCATGTGCAGTAATCGGTGTATCAATGTGGAAATAAACGCTCTGTCTCGGTGGTGCCGGCAGACTGTGCAGCCAGGGTAGGTGGAGGCTGAGTGTGCCTCACTGTGGACCTGCAGCACCCAGCGTAGGCCGATCAAGGCGGATTGAGTAAGACTCGGACACCCAGAGCAGCTTGGGTTGCTGTGTTAGTCCGTTGGTGTTGCTATAAAGGAATACCTGAGCCTGGGTAATTTATGAAGGAAAGAGATGTGTTTGGCTCACAGCTGTGCAGGCTGTACAAGAAGCCTGGTGCCAGCATCTGCTTCTGGTGAGGGCCTCAGGGAGCTTCCACTCATGGCAGAAGGCAAGGGGAGCCCATGTGGGCAGAGGTTACAGGGCGAGAGAGGAGGAGGAAGGTGGGAAAGGTGCCAGCTCCTTAGAATAGTCAGCGCCTGCGGGAGCTAACAGAGGGAGAACTTGCTCGTCACTGCGAGGACGGCCCCAAGCTGTTCATGAGGGATCCTTCCCAGACACCTCCCACAAGACCCCACCTCCAACATTGGGGACCAGATTTCAACACGAGATTTGGAGGGGACAAATATTCAAACTATGTCAGTTGTAGACATGATTTTGCAAACTGGTGAAGAATCTTGGTAAAATTAAAAAATTATCACCTTTCCTCAGCTTATACAGTAGCTACTATCCAACGTATGTTAAACTCGTAGAGCATATTTTGTGCGTCTGTGAGGGGATGGCACACACCGTGCTCAGGCCGTCGGTGGCAGGTGGAGGCCCAGAGCGGCTTTGCAAAGTGGTGTGGGACGGGGCAGTTCGTTATTTTGCAGGACTGCACCAAGCATTCTGGGATAGCCAGTGTGCCTGGTGCGGGCCCACTAGCAACCAAAAACACCCCCAGAGTTTCCAAAAGTCCCCCAGGGGACAGTGCCTTCCGCACTGAGAACCACGCATCTCGATGACCCTGGTGGCCCATGCCCAGTGCTGTTTCTGCTGCAGGGCTCTGGTCAGTGCTGCACGTTTACCCAGGGTCCCCGCACCTGCTGAGGGCTCAGAGGAGAACCCACACACTTGGAGCTTCCCCTCCACGTGTGGCAGTTTCCTCCCTCTAGAGTGATTTTGTTTCTCATCACACATCTGTAGACGCAAGATACAATGAGAAGAAACAGCGAAGTACAGTAAAGTTAGGGCAATGTGCACGTTGAACACTGTGCTTGGTAACTTCCTTCCCAGTAGACAAATGGCAGCCCTTTGGCAGCCACCCATAGCCAGCACCCACAACGGTCCCAGTATCCCTCCCGACCAAACAACCCTTTGCCAAGCAAAAGCAAGTAATGAAAAAATTCAAGGACAAATGATGGCCCGCATGACCGATAGGTACGTGTACAAAATGTAATCAACTGTAGACGCCCCAGCATCTTTCTCGGTTACCTTCGAGCACTCGCTGTTTGGTTGAGTCGCGGTTCTCTCTCAGGCTCCCGTGGGCTCATCTTTCTAACTTACCTGCTTAACCCTGTTTGCCTTATTCAGGTGGGTGTCGTGCCCATCACCAGGTTTGTGTTTACACAGCAGATGGTTCCTATTTTCCATATTTAAACGTTTGGCTTCTCTGGTCCACGTGCATCTGATTTAACACGAAAACTCCTGGGACCCTACGAAGCTCCTTTGATGACAGAGTCTTCCATCCTGATTATCCCACAGAGAATTTAGGGCTCTGTCAGCTTTCTGGTCCCTCAAGGTTCTGCTCTCTTTCTCCTTTTGTGGGTAAATAAAAAGCAAAGTAACAGAATACACCCCTGTCTAGGGAAGGCCCCAGATTCCCTGTCAATGGTCAGTTTCACCCATCGCCACTTTGCTATTCAGATTCGGTCTGCCTTCGTCATTTGGAGGAACTGCTGAGATTGACTTATTACACTTAAAACGTCACCCACGTTTTGGGTCTGTAGCCCGGCACTGCCTTTTTTTTCAAGAGACCATTCTGCAGCAGGGCTATACGGTCTCTTCTCAGCTGAATCGAGTGCGAAGCATCCCCCCTCTGAGTTTTAGGCAGATCTGTCCCCAGCGGCTTCCCTGCTACCACGCTTGCTTTACAGGTTACACACTTTGCTGGGTTTACGTTCACCTTGTTTTCTCTTCTCTGCTTTTCCCAGGCTGCCTATAGGCTTATAATCAACATGGATTCATTGTAACTATGTGAATACTTTCTTTCAATGTCAATTACGTATTATTAATTTGTCTAACGCTTTCAGCTAACTTGAGAGCCGGCCTAAGGTATACTTTCCACTGTTGTATTTGACGGAAGCCACGGCAACCATGTTCTTTTTCCTTCTCAATTTTTGACAAAGGTTTCTTTTCCGAGATGGAGCTCCTGCCCCGCGACGTGCCTGCGTCTGCTTGCGCCTCTGATCTCTTAGTTCTAATAAGGTTTCTGGTTGGGTTTGCCAGCCTCTGATTCAAGTCCACGGTCTCTGGGTATTCAGGTTTCATGCTTCCTGAAACATTTTATAGTAATTGGAGATTCGGCTTGGGGTTCTTTGACAGGAGCGCTTTGATCTGAGAATGAGATGTCGGTCCACCATTAGTCACTGGTGTGGCTGGTCTTCGTCAGACTACTCTTTTCATGGCAGTGAATGTGCTAATGAATTACTGTATAGCATGAAAAAGAAAGTTGTGTGTGTGTGTTTTAATATACAACTTTTTTAGCCAATAAAACAGCCTCTGGCCAGTTGGCTTGAGAGATACGGTGTACTCATTCCTCGACGCTCTGTTAATCTACTCAGGAAATTAAGTATGTTTCCATGAAAATGTCTCCTCACTCCTGTACTCCCCCCGGGGTGAAGCTCACAGAGCAAGAGGCCAATTTATATTCCTCAACTGATGTTTGTAAGTGGAATTAAGGAATGAAAGAATTACCTGGTGGCTTCTTGAAAGAGGCTTCACTGGGTGCAGATAAACGCCTCTCCGTGCAATGACGACAGATAATTTTGCCTGGCTGCTTAGATGATTTCCCAAGCCTGCCTGGTGTTTGCCTGTGCAGAAGGGGAGTTGCCATTGCTGAGGACGTTGATGAGCCACCGGGTTAGGCAGGCGGGCGGAGCAGCCCCTGGGCCTCAGTGGTCGCATCCATGCAGGTGTGGTGACTCCCAGGATCACAGAAGAGTAAGGGAGGCCTCTGGCCACCTGGGCCAGGCCAGGAAGCCCATGGGGGATTCCAGACCCTAAGTGCAGGAGAGCCCGGGGCTGTCTTGGGGGAGTTCTTTAGGGCACTTGGCATTCCGTGGGTGGGGTGGCCCAGGAGGACCAGAGCTGCCCTGAGGATTCAACCCTTCCAACGCTGTGCTTCCACCCTCTCTTCCTATGTTCTCTGAAAACAACAGTGAGTTTTTTAAAAAAAAATAATAATAAAATATTCTGTGCCTCTTTTCTTCCTCCGTTCAATTGATTTCACTTTTTAATCCTGCATTCCCCGAACACCCTTATCAGAGGCAGAGCGTCTTCTGAATTTGGTTCAGAGTGTTTTCACTACCACAAGCGGGCTTTCTCCTGCGGCCTGCACCCGGCTTGATTGCTGCCGCCAAGCGAGCGGATGGGCCTTCGCTCTCCGTATATTTAATTATCGTGCAGAGCAATTGAGAGCCAGAGCAGTTTAGTCCCAAGAGGTAGGATGTTAGAAAATGAAGACGAAGTTATTTTTTTTTTCCTAATTTAAAGTGCTAGAAACTAGATGCTAATAACAACCCTTAGAGTTGCTTACAATTCCAATCTGGGGTTTTAAGCAGAGCTTTAGTTCAGGGAGCCCAGGGAATATGAATATGAGCTTAGAATTACTTTTTTTTTCATATTATCTAGGACTGTGCTTTTTACAAGGGTAGTCACCAGCTACATGTGGCTATTTAAATTTGAATTAATTAATGTTACAAGTTCAGTTCTTTGGTTGGACTCTAATCACATTTCAGTGTTCATTAGCCACATGTGGCCACCAGGTTGGACAGCATAGATAAAGAATACTTCTGTCCTCACAGGAAGTTCTGGCCCAGAGCACAGAAGAACTCTACCTTTTAGACACTTGTTGCATAAGAGCTTGAAAGTGTCACTGCCTCCCCTGACCTCCGTAGCCAAGTCACCCCCACAGACTTGTCCCTTTTCGTAGGATAAGTTGTCTCTCTTTAGAATGAGACCGTTTTAGGTATTCAGTAAGAGTAGCTCTATAGGAGCATTTTCTAGAAAAAAAAATCCTTGGATTTTCTAAGAATAGCTCATAGATTGAATAAAGGTAGCAGGTGATTAGATGATTATAATAATAGCAGCTATTTTTGTTGCATACCTGCTGTGTTCCAGGGTTTTGTTCTAAATGCTTTACAGAAGCATTTGATCCTCAAAATTAACCCCATGAGGCATGGCATTATATTAGCCCCATTTTTTAGTTGAGAAAACTGAGGCACAGAGAGGTTAAATATCTTGGCCCACAAAGCTAATAAGGGGTTGAACTAGTATTTAAACCTGGATAGTGTAACCCCAACTACCTCTCATTTCTCTGCAAATGGCATCAAAACATCCAGAATGTTCCCTGTGTAAAGGGAACGGCAACCAGGAAACCAGGAAACTGTAGAAGAAATAAATGCTAAATAGATGTTCAGGCTGGTTCAGATGCTTATTAACATTGCAGATTCTAAGGAGTTTTTTGTAGCCTGGATGGAATAAAAATAAAACAACTTTTCAAAAGGAAGTCATAGCACTTTAGACTATTTGGGGAAGATACAATTGATCTACTCACCAGGGGTTGGCAAACTGTAGCCCAAAGGCCAAATCCCACCTGCTGCCAGTTTTTGCAAATAAAACAGCCCTGCGTGCTTGTTTATATGTTGTCTGTGGCTGCTCACACGTTACATTTGCAGAGCTGAGTAGTTGTACCAGAGATCAGATATCAAAGAAAGCCTAAAACATCTCTTTTCTGTTCCTTTGCAGAAGAAGTTTGCCGACCTCTGTGCTAGATCATATTCTCCAGGCGTTGCAAGATGATTAGCATTAGTGTATTTCCGAACTTGAGGAATGACCTCGCGTTGTCGAAGGGATTGAATTATTCAGTATTCTCATTGCTTTGCATCATAAATGTGTGCGTCCCCTCCTGTGTGCCTGGCACATCTGAATTTACGTGGCTCTAAAAGTGGGCATTTCACCAACCCTCAAATACCCACGTCCCAGAGAGCGGACTGCACTTTAGCCGGGTCATTTCTGGGGGATCCCTTGGCGCTCAGTGTGCCCAGCGTCCGTCGGCGGTCACTTCCCTGTCTCCATGCCTGCCCACTGTCGGGAGATCGTGCACACAAAACGTTCACGTAATGCTTGTCTTACTTTAAGATCCTGGTGGAGTGAACTAAAATAGTAGGCAAATATTAAAATTCAACACCCTTCATATTCTGTATTCCATTATGTAGTTAGAATAAATTAAGTTTCCCCAAAATGTTTTTGCCAGACCTTTTTAAAATAACATTTTTCCTTGATTATAAAAGTTATATATGCAGAAAATGTGGAAGGATCTAACCACAAGAATGGGAGTCCCCTTCTCCCCACCACCAATGGTCACCACTGCAAATATTTGAGTAATAAATAGTTTTGAAGAAGATTCTGCCACATATACAATTTTTAACTTTTTTCTATGTCGTTTAAAATGTCTTAGAAAAACAATTTTTCATTGCTACATAATTGTCCATCATACGGATGTACTGTAATTCACAGAACCGTTTCCTTTCTACTGAGCAATCGAATTGTTTGCAGCTGTTTGTGATTCTACATAAAACTTGATGACCATCTTTGCACCTGAGCCTGTGTCTGCTTCCCGGGTGCCTCCTTAGGATCAGATTCTCAGAAGTGCAATTACTGAATTAAAGATATTTAACATATGAAAAGCTCAGGAAGTATACCCAAAATAACTAAATCAAAGGTCATGTCATCTCTGACTTGACTTCTTGCCTGACCTCAAACGAGACTGTACTAGTTCATGTAATCCTACAACAAAGACTTACTAACGTGGGTTAATGTTACACAGACTTAACATTAAAACAGTGAAATGAAACTCACAGGCGAACAGGGACACTTTAGAATTACCTGTGTGGTGATTGGACATTAATCTTAGAAATTTGATCATTTTCTTAGGGAGAGCATGGGTTGAATGCCCAGATATCTGCCTAGAGCTGTTCCTTGGGTTCCTTCCCATATTCCCACGGTTTTCAAATTCAAGTGGGTATAAAATGACCTTAGGTTGGGTGCAGTGGCTCACACCTGTAATCCCAGCACTTTCAGAGGCCAAGGCCAGAGGATTGCTTGAGACCAGGAGTTCAAGGCCAGCCTGGGCAACATAGTGAGACCCGATCTCTACAAAAAATAAGAGAGATTAGCCAGGCGTGGTGGCACGCACCTGTAATCCCAGCTCCTTGGGAGGCCGAGGCAGGAGGATCGCTTGAGGCCAGGAGTTTAGAGGGCAGCCTGAGAAAGAGCAAGACCCTGTCTCTACAAAAAATCAAAAAATTAGCCGGGCATGGTGGCGTGCTTGTAGTTGCAGCTACTTGGAAGGCTGGGGCAGGAGGATTGCTTGAGCCCAGGAGTTTCAGGCTGTAGTGAACTATGATCACACCACTGTACTCTAGCTTGGGCAACAGAGCAACACCCCATCTCTAACAAAGAATGACCTTATAGGGTTAGATGCTCCAGGGCCTTGACACCTGCTTTCCTCTCTCCAGGAAGTCCTGCCTCAGAGAGCCACCGGCTCATTGTCTTCCTTCAGGTCTCCATATGGAGGTCGCCATACCAGAGAGGCCTCCCCAGCAGCCACGTCACTTGCTTATCACCCACCTGCCTTATTACCCACCTGCCTGGGTAGCTCTTACTCACTCTCCTCACTGTCCATGTGTGCCTTGCCTCTCCTCCCTGCAGTGAAAACCAGGGTTTTCCTCGGCCTTGTCCATAGCCTGATCTTGTGATTGTCATCCTGTGTCAGTAGCTCACACCCTCAGGGGTACGTGCATGCCGGGCTCTGGGTCACGCCATGGTAACTTATGTCCCAGGGTGCCATTAGCCTCATGGCCCATATTTTGGTGTGAGTATCATCAGCTTTGGGGCACTGGGGAGAGCCGTGAGAAGGACCCGTGACATCAAGGGCCTCGGCTTCGCGGGGGCGGCCTGGGTTCTGCATGTCACTTGGGTTGGAATGGAAGTGGGAGTCTGAACCGCAGCCACTGCTGACACAGTGTGCAGGCCCCCCTCCTGGTGCTGCCACCTCCCCGTGTCACAGAGCAGCAGCCCAGCGTCCCTGCAAAGCCAGAGGGCCAGGCAGGTGCCCCAACTGGGTTGTGACCCACAAAGGCTAAAGTATTTAAGTAAAGGACCTGATTTATGGGGTTTGGGCACAGGGAAGAATTAAACTCGAGGCTTGGAAAATGCCGTTACCAAACATGAGTGGTTGTGCTTTGGGGGGAACTGCCACTTTGTCAGTGTCAACACTGAATTCTTAAGAATTGCTCGCAGGCTTACAGTGGACTGTTTTGGGGACAGCTGTCTTTGCCATGGTGACCTTGCTCCGTGGCTCTGGGAACAGGGACAGGTGCTGGAATCTGACGGACTTTTCTTTGCTCTGGCCAGGTCTAGCACCTACCGCCCCAAGGGCTTCGACGTCACCGTGAAGTACACGCAAGGGAGCTGGACGGGCTCGGTCGGGGAGGACGTCGTCACCATCCCAAAAGGCTTCAATAGCTCTTTTCTTGTCAACATTGCCACCATTTTCGAGTCAGAGAATTTCTTTCTGCCCGGGATTAAATGGAACGGAATACTCGGCCTTGCGTACGCCACCCTGGCCAAGGTAAGGCTAACCCATGGGTTAGGTAACTCGGACGGTGGGACGGCCTTCTGAACACCCACCGTGAAAGGCTGATAAATGGGTCCTGGGCCGTCCTTGGAGATGGTCGGTGAGAATCACGTGGTTGAAAGAGACCAGCGTGCACACAATTATATTTCTAAGCATTTTTAAAATTTAAGGTAAATGGCGTGATTCTTTGAACCTTCTTATGAGATGTACTAATAGCATTAACTTTTTTTGGTTTTGTTTGATTCTACAGTTAAGAATATTAGCAGAATTTGAATCATGTTGACTATGGTGTGTGTTTAGGAAGTTTTACTAGGGAAGGATTAAAAGAAAACAGTTTTATTAAATCCATACGCTTGCATGAGACGGAACCTGCAGGAGGCCCTGCAACGTGGGCAGCCGGACGCACCTCCACAGGGCTGGGAGCATGCACCGCTGCTCTCCTGACGCTGCAGCAGACACCCCGCGGTGGAATAGGGGCGGCGGGAAGGTGTGCCCAGGTCGCCGGCCACGCCAAGCAGTGAGGAGCCACGGGGCCCTGGCTCTCTCAGCATCAGAGCCTTCCCCAGATGGAGAAGGACAGAATTGGCTGTTCCCACATGTTTGTACCAGGGGCCAACCCACAGGAAATGATGTCTGTGCACAGGAGGGGCAGGCAGGCAGGGGGCTTTCCACCTGCAAGGGTTGCCTGGGCCAGGCGGGCTTAGACACCAGGGTGTGCCCCGGGCTCCTGGAGACCCGGCGGGTTTGTGCACACTTGCAAACGGCGGGAGGAGGCCCCCTCTCTAGGCCCTGTACCTGGGCACTGCACCCCGGCCCCTCCTTGTTCAGCGTTAGGCTTGGAGCCAGAGCTGAGTGTGGGAGGGAAAAGAATGTGATGGCAGGGCGGCAGGCCCCCACTGGCCCGTGACAATCATTTTCCCACCCTGCGGGAGCATTTGTTCCAGCTCAAGTTCATTAGCAAATGGTGTGGGGTGGGGGAACCGGCAGGGGCGTGCCCCAAGCCCTGGCTTCCCTGGGAGGAAGGGTAATGACCGAGAGCCTCTTAGGCTTAGGCTGAGAGTATGGCAAGATGCCGTTCCCACGAGCTCCTGGGCGGCAGACTTTGTCACGCCACGTTCTCCCGATCTTAGAGATGTGGGGCTGAGGGCCAGAGAGGTTTGCCCCGTTCAAGTCGGAACACGGAGCCCTGGTATCCTTCTCGCGCTGTCTGCAGAGCCGGGACGGGCACAGGGCCCCTTTGTCCCTGTGTTGTAAGGGGAACGGCATAGGAAGTCGGCACACTGGTAAAAACTTACATTCCCAAGTTCATTTTCACAGGTAACGGGACCTTGGGTAAACGTTTCATCTTTAAGTGACTATTTGGAAATGAAGGATGCAGGATTGATTTTATGCTCATTATTCAGAAGATGGCAAACTTTAATTATCTAGAATTAATAACGTGTGAAACTTCTACTGGAACAAACTATTTTGGATTTTTGGGGGGGTGTCCTCACTCTCCACGTAGTCTTACATCTTTTTGTCTACAGAATGCCAAGATTACTAAAAATTGGCTTTTGTTCCCCAGGTTGGAGGAGAGAGGAACAGAACTCGTAGAAAGCGGCGTGTAGCTGGGAACAGGACCAGCAGGGTGGTCTGGGTTGGTGGCCCAAAGGTGGCTCTGAAACGGGTTGTCCAGGCACCCGGTGGTAGTTGTCATGTGTGGTGGCCCCTGCTCCATCCCAGGAGCTTCCCGCCAAGGCCGTGTCAGAACCACCTACGGGGCTTCTACACGGTGCACGCCTGGGTCCCGCTGCGCACCTGCTGGGTCAGGTTCTCTTGGGGTGGGACCTGGGCAACTGTGTTTTTAAATCGCTAGCGGGAGCCTGTGACACAACCCTAGTGCAGAAGGACTTCCCGGAGTAGTCACAGGTCCTTTACTGTGTGCCAGGCCCTGTCCCAACCCTTTATAGGTATTGACCCATCGAAGCCCCCCAGAGCAGCTAGACGAGCTGTTGTTATCCCCGTTTTACAGATAAGGAAACAAAGGAACGAGTTGCTCTATTGGCAAGTAGTAGACCAGGCTCCCATTCCAGGTGGTGTTTGCTTTGCTCTGCCACCCTAGAGAAGGGGACAGTGGCACCACCAGACCCTGCCCACGCCAAGGGGGCACCCACCTCACTCACTGGGCCATGCTCAGTGTTCCCACAAGGACTGCATTCTGCCTTAGAAGTCTACAGAAGCTGAGATGAAACCACTGGGAGGCCAAGTTCAATTGGACCATACAGATGCATGGATCTGTATCTATCCGATAATGGAGACCTGCTCACTGCCCTCCAGAACTACAGTTTTAGTCCTCGCGGATAGTAAATGATTATTCCCATGAATGACCACAGGTGGTCAGGGGACGCCTATAGCATCTGTTCTACTACACTTAATTTTTAAGTTTAAAAAACTAACAACTCGTGGTGACCAGCTGCAGCATCTCTTCGTTGTCAAAGCCAAAATCCAAACTCAGGTCTATCGCTAACCTCCTCCACGACCCAGCACCCCGGGCCACCCCCAGCTCAGAACAGTTTGCAGATCCCTCCTCTTCTGGTGTCTGCTGAATGCGAAGCTGCAAGAGAGGGAGACACACAGCAAATCATGTCCACTGAAATTTGGCAGTGGTGAACAATGAGTTTTGTAAATCTCAGAAGTGTAGATTTGTTCCTTTCCTGCCACTTTCCTGATCTCCAGAGTTCAGCTGGCAGAGTTAGGCTCTGTACAGGGTCTGGGGTCCGGATGAACGGTCCTCGTGGGCCGATCGCCTCTCATTTGCACGATCGGCAGCCGCAGCTGAGAGGTGCGAACAAGGACTTCAGCAGCAGTGGCATCTCCGTGAGAAACTCTTCTCTCCTTACTCCAAAATGTCTAAGATTAGAACCCACCGCCTACCTTGATAATCCACTTCCACGGCGTGTCGTGCCTGCCTCACAAGGCAGTCATGATGGTAAATGTGACAGGGCCTAATAGCTTCGGAATAAAACCTTATTTTTACAACAGAGCTGTACCAAAAGGAAAAATGCCAGGCAGTGGGCAGTTCTGTTGGAGCTTTCTGAATTACTGCATCTGATCACAAGTTTGTTTGTTGTTTAGCCATGAAAAAATTAGCTACAAAGATCAAGAATGTTGTCTGTGGTTTGTGGTGTCTACACTGGTCACCCTTGTCTACACTGTGAGTCATGAAGCAGGTGTCCTTCTTTGTCACCCTCCCACAGCCGTCAAGTTCTCTGGAGACATTCTTTGACTCCCTCGTGACACAAGCACACATTCCCAACGTTTTCTCCATGCAGATGTGCGGCGCCGGGCTGCCCGTGGCTGGAGCCGGTACCAACGGAGGTAGTCTTGTGGGTATCTTTTAGTCTTAAAGGGGTGAAAAATCATAAATTGATGGGGCTGTTTTTTCTGTTTTATTCAACACCTGATCAGGAATATTAGACATGTAGGTGTGCGTAGGTACTATGGAATGGCGATAATCCTTGTTACAGATCCTTTTGAAAATGGATAAAATGAGGTATTACTTTTAATCTTTCCTAATCATCCTGCCATCTGGAAAGATGCTTCTCGTTGCTTCTCCAAATTCCATTAGTGCTTTTCTCTGGCGTGCTTTGGAAGGGAGCTGCTTCCCATGGGGGGCGGGGAGTTGGGGGCCACGTGAGCCTTGCTCTGGGCAGTGGGGCAAAGGGTGATGCCGGTGATTTCATAAATTTGGTGGGGAGACAGGGACACCTATACATGCTTTCTTTCTCTCTCAACACACACACACACACACACACACACACACACACACCCCCCAAAATTGTCTTCTGCTGAAGCAGAACCAAGGCCATCAGTACTACGGATGTGCTGTAGTCTGGGCTCACCCACACGGGCCCTGCACCCAGACATCTATGTAGGACATGGCAGGGAGAATGCACGAGAAGGGGCCCTCTTGGGTGGGTGCTGCCGCCCGGTGCCCTCTGCCTGCGAAAGGCGGGGTCCGCACCCCTGCTCCCAGCCGCCTGCACGTGCTGGCGGTAGCTTGTACCTAAAAGCTTTCCTACCCTTGTCTGAGAAGAGAGAGCAGCCCAGGATGTGAGCAGGTGTTTCACAGTCCTGCAAAATGAGGTTTTGATTAGGAAACTCTTTTCTTCTTTTCCTCTTTTCTGACTTCTGGGGGACTAAATTATTGTCAGACAGCGTGGTTACCTATTTTATTGAATTTCTTTGGGGGAAAATCTCAATATCGTGAAGCCGAAATTGTACTTTCTGTAGATAAAGGGAAACCACCAAAGCATCTTGATTAGACTAGGGTGTCATACTGTTTGACGTTGGATACATGGCCCATAACTTCCCCTGATGATTTCTCAGGCTTTTGTATTTGTTTCGTAACATCACAGTAACGTACTGATTCTAGCAAAGTGTCACCTTATGAGGACATGCTTCTCTGTGTGACCTGTTGATGTGTCTGTGTACTTTTTCTCTTATACCGGTAAATATTTTTCTTTTCAGGTCCTGGGTGGGGTTGAACCCAGTTTGTATAAAGGAGACATCTGGTACACCCCTATTAAGGAGGAGTGGTATTACCAGATAGAAATTCTGAAGTTGGAAATCGGAGGCCAAAGCCTTAATCTGGACTGCAGAGAGGTATTTACGATCTCCGTCGTGTCTGTCGGTCTGTGTGTGCCTTAAATAGCACAGCTGGAACCTGTCTGTGACTTTAGAGAGGTGCATTACGGTACAGGATAAATCAAAGGTTATAACATGAAGAGACAAAAGGCCGTTCTGTATGTTAAGTTTAAATCGATGAAACCCCCTCCCCCAAAACATTGCTTCCTCCCAATCACCTGGCTTAATAGGACAGAATTAGCATTAAAAGGTGAGCGAGGGGGACTGTCCGAGCCACACCTTTCACCATTCATCTTGGCCTATTGGGCCCTGAGCTCTGCTTAAGACAAAATAAGCAGATTTTCATCAATGTGAAATGAAACCAAAATAATCACCAGCTTTATCCTCCGTCGCAGCTGCCCCCTCCCCCATGGTACACACGCTTGCGGCTCTAAAGTTGAGACCTCTGACGCCAAACCTGCGACCTGTGTGCACAGCCTCTCTCTGCATTTGGGCTGATGTGTGGCACCTTATGACATTAGGGTTAGGGTTAGGGTGAGGGTTAGGGTGGCTTGAGGGAGTTTCGGTCTTCTACAGCCTTTTTAGAATGGTTTATAAACACTGCGAGCGTTTCATCGTGTTTCTGCCTGTTAGCACCTCTATTAACTGCCACATTCGACCATCCGTTCTCATGTACACGGGGACCTCCGAGAAACCAAAGAAACCAAGAGCAATGGTCCCTGTCATTGTGATGGTGTCTCTGCCCTAAGCCCACAAATCTGTGTTTATTGTCAAAAGGAACTTATTTGCCATTAAAGAACCCAATGGTGTAATCTAACGTGAGGGCCTAAAATAAATATAAACCCTGTGCGTGTGAGCGTATGTGTGTATTAGTGCAAGCACATGCTCGGAGGTGTGATTCTTAGATTCTGGGTTCTTTCCTGCCCACCTCATATGCACCCACCCCACAAAACCTGGGACATCCTACCACAGCATTTCGGTTTGCTACAGGGCTTTCATGTATTTACTTTTCTTACGTAAAAAATTATAATTTTATAAATAAGGTAAGTTATATTTTAAATTAAATTTGTTTTTAAACTGAAAATAATTTTGTTTGAAAAGGATACTCATAAATTGGTATGTTTCATTTTTCTTAAAATTCTTAACTGCTCTTGCCTTTTGACCTGATTGGGGATGTATCTGGTCCGATGACTCAGGGCTCTGCCTTAAAGCAGGAGGATGAAATTGCGTGCCTGGCAGCCTTGGTCGTGCACGTGTGCGCCTAGTGGCCGGAATGGCCTGTCTGGGGTCAGCGCACTCACCTCCGTGCCCCTCACTCCGCCACATAGAGAATGTTACAGGTGGGGCGGGCCTGGCAGTGCCTTTGTGTGTGTGTGTGTGTGTGTGTGTCTGTTACTGAATGTGTCTCTGCTGCCTTTCTAAATGCAATATGGGAGGTCTATTGAAAAATTGTCCTTTCTTCATCTTTCTTCATTAGCCAGATAATAGTTCATTTTTGTACAGTTTGCATAAGGGGCTTTTAATATGTCATTTCACCCTCTAAAGACAGATGAGTCCTCCCTCTGCCCTGGGGGGAGGGCCCCGTGATGAGGGAATCGGGGCAGCTCCGAGGAAGGAGAAAGCTCTGCCTTGGGAGGGCGGTTGATCCTGGTCACGTCATCGCCCTTTGCTGGGCCTCGGTTTCCTTATCTCCAAAGTGAGCACACTGGGCTAGAAGGTCCCCGGCTCCCAAGTTCTGAGAATAGGAAATGAGTCGTAGCTGACAGTGAGCCCCGTGGCTGCCCGATTTGTGTGTGACGGACGCACAGTGAAGGTGGCTGGAGCCGCGCTAGCTCTGGGGCACCGGTGTCGCTCACGTGCCTTCTCCCCCGCTCTCCTCCATGCAGTATAACGCGGACAAGGCCATCGTGGACAGCGGCACCACGCTGCTGCGCCTACCCCAGAAGGTGTTCGACGCGGTGGTGGAAGCCGTGGCCCGCACATCTCTGGTGAGTGCCGGGGAGGCGCGTGACTCTTCAGACACCGGATCTCCATCGCAGGCTGCCGGCCTCCGAACCGTCGCTCTTCATAGTTTAAGTTCCCTATTTTATATTCATGTATTTAAAATCTAATATAGTGTGATACACATAAATATATCCATATATTTTATGTTTATTTTAAAATTTTATATTTTGCAGGTTTTTTTAAACTATTACTTATTAATTTCACGATCTCACTCATTGACATTAACCAGCAAATAATGCCTTCATTGTAACCCCAGAGGACCTGGGTTTGAATGCGCAGTGCTTTTCAGTATTTCAAATAACGGTTCAGTTGGTGAAAAGCAATACTTGGTAATATAGCTGTATTAAAGTAAACAGTAAATCAAGAATACATTTATAGCCTTTAAAACAAAACACGTAAACCGAAAGTCTTACTCTTTTTTGGCCTTCCTCCAAGCTGTGCTGGTATCTTAACTTCTGCTTCTGTAAAAGAATATGATTCTCCCACAGAAGACGAAGGTCGGTGGGCCAGTCCAGTGGTGATGTCCTGGCCGTGCTCTGAAATACAAGTCAAGTCACGGCGGAGGGCAGGGTACCTCTTGGGGACCTGGCTGCTGGTGTTCCCAGTGTGGCCTCAACTTTCCAGTCAGTTCTGGACAACAGCATTGGACAGAACACAGCCTTGGGGCTCCAGGGGAGTGAATTTAGTCCAGTTCTTGTCACTCATAGCGGGGTGCCTGGGGAGGGGGGTCATGCCCTCTGAGAGCCCCCGTGTGCTTGTCCGTGGGGTTGCTGCGAGGGATGATTGGGTCAGAGGCTGGTGCACAGGAGACAGTCGGCAAAAAGGAGCTCCCGTCTGACGTCCAGCCCCGGTGCTGCTGCTGTTTCCTTGTGAGATACACATTGCTTTCAGCATCTCGAGTGTTTCCGCAGCATCTGTCCACTCAGGGCCCTCCTTGCAAGATCACCAAAACGGCAGCGTTTCCCACACAACGCCTGGACCGCGGTACTGGCGTGGGGCGGGCAACCTGCTACCCCACTGCGGTGGCTGAATTCAGAGAACCGCGGGTAGAAGAGGCATAGCGGTTGCTTTGCTGCAGGTTATGGCAGAGATGCAGGAAGCAAGAGAGGGCTTTTGGTTGTCCCGAACCCAAACTGCAAAAGCCTGTAGCTGCTGCAGGCAAGCGAAACGACGCAGAGGGGAGGTGAACAAGAAAGGCCCCGGGACCCTTTTGATCCAGCAGGTCTTCCAGGCGGCAGCCCAGAGCAGCTGCCGTTGACAGCAGAGCAGAGTCGCGATCTTTTCCACTATCTGCTGAATCAGAAAAAACAGCAGGTGACGTGTAGTGCCTTAAATTCGGAACGGTTGCTAAAAATCAGACCACACTTAAAATAAGGGGCAATGCGCTGAGTTCTCAAATAGTAAAAGTGTCCTCAGCAGAATTAACATGAGAGCTCCACACTTAATACGCTGAATGACAAGTGTCTGACGACCGTCCCAAAGATGTGTTTGAAGCCTCGGAGTGCGCATCCAGCAAGCAGTGGCCCCGGGGCCCCTGTGCCGTGGCACCGACGGGCGTTCACACTCCTGAGTTCATCGCAGCACGTGCTCAGCAGCGACTGGCTCTGTAAGAAAACCACGAGGTAGAAGCAATGAGATCATGAAGTTTGTTTGCCTTGTCTAAAATTATCCACTGATTTCATCCAGTGCCCGTGTCAGGAGGGAGAAACCCAGGAAGGTTGTTTGTCTTGGGCAGGGGACACTCAACAAGGCTGCGTTGTCTCCGTCCTGCCATCTACGCCGGACGTGCTTGTCCTTCCTGTCTGCCGGGCTCCTGCCAGCCGGCCCTCCCTGCTCGGGCGTCTTCCTAGCGACGGGCAGGGCTGGCTTTGGAGGGTTACAGACAATGCAAGTGTCGGGCTCTGTCCCCCGGCTTGGAGTGTTCAGATGGGACTTCAGAAGCCAGTGGTTCGTAGGTCTGTGTTTTAAGCGCGCCTGCTGGGGAGTTGCTTGCCGGGCCACGCGGCGTGTGCAGAGGCTGGGGACCCGGCCCTGGTGTGGAGCCCACGTCCCTCGGGCCCAGCACTTCTCCACCTGCAGAGTCCAGCAGCAGAGGCCACCACTTTAAGATGACTTCTAACCTTAAAACTCCACAGTCTCTCCCGAGTTACCCAGGGTTGAAACTGTCCCTCAAGGGCACATGGCTTAGCCCCGGGGAGGCCTCCAGACTTATGGTTAAGGGACCTGGCTTTGGGGACAGTAAGTCCCACGTCCATCTCGGAGCTGAGCCACGCAGGCCAGGAGCTGGGCCCCTCTGAGCCTCGTTCTGCAGTGGGAGCCGGTCGTGGCACCGTCTGTTCGAGCTCCGTGCCGGCACCGTAGGCCCAGCCCAGCCGCCTGGCTCCTTGCCAAATCCAGCAAAACGGCCCTCCCGCCTCTCATCAGCTCCTTTGGGAAGGGGCTCTTCCCTGTGATGCGTATTTCAAATCAACCGAACTTTTTTAAAGAGCAAAGGTACATTAATGCCAGCATTAGAAATTTTACAAATGGATGGCGAGGGGTCTGGCTAGAGGATGCGGGATGGATGGACGGCGACAGGGCGCGTCCTCCCCGGCGGAGCGCCTGGTGGGCCGGGCAGGCGCGTGCGTGCCGTGTGCAGCTGTGGCTGCGCAGCACGTGGCACCCGCTCGGTCTTCAGTATGTGGGCGTCACCAGGTTCATCCGGTGGCACCTGCCTTTTCCTCCATTCTCACCTTGGCAGCATTCTGTCCTGCTTCCTGTCTGCCCTCCTGACTGTCCCCTCTGCTTCCATGACACCTCTCCCTCCTCCCTGGGTGTCCCTGTGCCGTGCCCCTCCCCCTGGGGTCCCCCTCCCTCCCCCACCTCCTGCACAGTCCTGTCCGCAGCCTCAGTGACTCTCGGTGTGTGTAGCCCGGGCCTGTGCCCTGGAGCTCAGGACGCTCAGAGGACCAGCGAGCCCCACAGGGTGTCCCCCGGGCGCCTGCGTCGCATGGACGTGCTGCAGAGCCCAGGCCTCCGCTGAATGAAGCGCAGTCTGTCACTTCACGGTGGCCCCAGTCTCCTCCCCGCCTCACCTCGTGTCCCTGTCTGTCCTTGGC